AAAAAACAGACAATAACAAGTGTAGGCAAAGATGTGTAGAAATTGAAATGCTCATTCTTGTGGAAAAGTAAAATGAGAGAGCACTTTGTTGAATGTTAAAGATACTGTTTTCCTATAACTCACAAATTCAACTCCTATTTATGTATGAGAAAGTAATTAAAATATATGTCCTCCCAAATTACAAATATTCACAATAGCGTTATTTATAATAACTAAAAGTGGAAACAATCCGATGTTTGGAAATTGATAAATGAATTAATAAAATTGGAATCTCCATATAATTGAATTGTTTTTATTCAGCAATGAAATAGACTGAAGTGCTGGTACATGCTACAAGGTGGATGATTCTCAAAAATACAATGAATGAAAGAAACCAGTCATGAAAGTTCACAGGTTGTATGATTCCATTGTAGGAATAGTCATATGGAGCAATTTATAGAGACCAAAAGCAGATTAATGGTTGCCTAAGGCTGGCAAAAGTGTGGATGGAAAGTAACTGCAATAGGTACACAGTCTGTTTCAGGGTTGATTAAATGTTCTACATTAGACTATGGAGATAATTTCAAAACTCTATAAATATGCTATAAATCATCAACTTGTACATTTTAAAGGAGCTAATTTATATTACAGCATTTACATTATACCTTAATAAACCTTCTAAAAATAAAGGTGGAGTAACTCCAACTGCTTGAGTAAGCTAAGTCTTATCTACGATGGAGACAAAAACAGCCCTGACAGAAAAATCTAACATATGTAGTAGTAGAGACAAGATCAGGTACTTGTCTTCATGTTTCAGATTTTCCAGATAGATGAGCAGCAGGATTTCTCTGTTTATGAGAGCAACTGTATGTTTCTTCACAATAATTGAGAGTCACTAAGCATTTAAAAGTTCATATGCCAATCAAGATACAAGTTACTAAGCAATCTCCTAAATCACTTGGCTTAAAGTTTATATCTTAGTCTTCAAATATTACACTTACATATTTAAACCAATGTGTACAAGTTAAGCTGCACCAGTTTTGTTATAAAGTTATAAACCAATGTATACAAGTTAAACTGCACCAGTTTTGTTATAAAGGTCCTTGGGTTATAAATAATCAAGGAAATAATATTAGGAACAACTGGGGAGAACTACTCAGAAAATAAGAGCTGTAAGAAATGAGCTTCCCAGGATGAACTCTAAAGAATAAGTGTGAAATGAGTTAATTCAGAATTAGCAAAGCTACTAAGGTTTGGCTTTCAAATACATTGTTTTTCTCATCTTTTTTTTCAATCCCACGTCCTGCCATGACACCTGAATTCACTGATTAATGTGCAAACATGGCCTTCAATTAATTCCAGGTCTTCACCTCACATTCCAGGTATTACTGCCTGGATTATGTGCTATACTTTTTCTTCACCAAAACTTATCTTTGGGTAATATAAAATTTCCCTCGAGGACACAATTTTCTGCACCATCGACTTTTGTGCCACTTTGTCTATCATATTTTTCTTTTTTTTTTTTTAAAAAAAACACATCTTTGATGTTATAAGAACCTCCATTCCATGATGTTGTGGCTACATCATAACAACCATACCCTCTTTTAATTTCCTTTCTATATAGCCAGTTCCTTGGTTGTCTATTCCCATTCACTATGATGCTCATATCTTTCATTCCTTTATTCCTTCCTCCACTAAAACCACCTGATGAAGCTTTACTCAGAATGAACACAACTATCTCCCCCCCACTTTTCACACTTGGGCTGCTTGTACAAGTAACACAACACTTAAAAAAAGTTGACACTACGGTCAAGGCATCTTTTTAAATGTGTCCTATCATCTTTCTGTCTCCACAAATATTTTAAACTTTAAAAATTGTTAATCTTTTCAGCCTACTTGCTTTTAGCAAATGAGCTTGCCAAATACATGCAGAGAAAACAGAACTGTAAGATGGAAATTACATGATTTTCCTGTCCCAAGCCTACACCTTTGAGAGCAGCTGTACATATACTTTTCTTCTACTGAAGCTTTTCCCACTTAGTCCAATAGTTCATATGGTTCTTAAGACCAGTCCTTAGCTGTTTGGAAAAAAGGGCTAAAGATCCAATCTAAAGAGTCTAGGGGCCTCACACTGAATGTTTCTTCTATATCATAATTTTCTCCCTCTGTATTGAATTACCTCTGTATTGAATTATGCTTTGGCAGTGTTTGAAATCAGCCAGGCATGAGTGTCTCACACCTGTAGTGATAGCTACTCGGGAGGCTGAGATCTAAGGATCGTGATTTGAGGCTGCCTGGGCAAGAAAGTCCATGAGACTCTTTTCTCCAATTAACCACCAGACAACTGGAAGTGGTGCTATGGCTCAAATTTGTAGAGAGCTAGCCTTGAGCAAAAAAAAACTCAATGATAAACCCAGGCCCTGAGTTCAAGCCTCAGCACTGACAAAAATAAATAATTTTTAAAAAGAAGTTTGAAATCAGGGTACTCTACCACTTGAGCTATCTACTTCTAGCCCATTTTTGCTTTTAGTTATGTTTCAGATAGGGTCTCATGCTTTTTCCCCAAGATGGTTTAGAACAATGAACCTCCCACTTACGCATCTTTCATATCTAGTATTACAGGCATGCACCACTACACCCAATTCTCTATTGTATTTTGAACATCAGCATTTAAATATTTCTGTGAACCTAAATTATCCTCCAAGTATTAATAAATTCCTTCCTTTTATAGCATTTTCTCCCATTATATATTAATGCTTTTCCATCTTTGTTTTATTTTTTATCATCCCTCATACATTTCAAAAAACAGTGATCCAATTTTTATTCCACTGAAAATGTTATTGTAACATCTTCTAAGTTTTCTTATAATTTAAGTAACATTATAGTGCTGGAATACAAAGGCATAACTCCACAAGCATGCAGAAGTGTATATCTCTTTTATGTGACAGTCTCTGTATAGAGAAGTTTTATCATTTGCAATCCCTTGGAAGCAATTTGTTCCAAGCAACTACTCCAATATATCTTATGATAATGTCACAATCTGCATGCCTATAGCTGGACATTAATATATTTAGTTGTAGTTGGCTTTGAGAAAAAAGGCAGATTCTGATCTCTTTTGTTGCAGATCTGCTTTATCTGCAAGAGCTTAGTTCACTTAGCCACACATAACTGCAAAAAAAAATATGATAAGCAATCTACCAGAGTAGCCATTTGCTTGGGTGCAGTTCTATTATTACAGAAGAAAGGAAGTACAGATTTTGTTGAATATCTATCAGAGTCTTTCATAATGACAATCTTCTTAAATCCAATAAACTATTTCAAAACTTGATGTTTTTTCTTGATTTTCTGAAGCACCAGTTGCTTTTGTTTTTCCTCATTTTCTTTTTCTTTATTTTTTTTGGAGCAATGAGGTTTAAATTAAAGACCTTTCACTTCCAAAGCGGGCACTCTACTACTGAGACATGCCTTTTTTTCTTGCACTGATTATTTTTAAGCAGGGTCTAGATTACTGCCTGGACATGCACCTTAATCTTAATTCTGCTATTTTCTCACTTTTCATTGAAAGTGGGATGATAGGTATGTGCCACCACACCTAGCTTTTTATTGAGAAGAAGAATTCCATATGCCTAGGCTAGACTTGACCCTCAGTTCTCCTGATCTCTGTTTCCTAAGATGTTCGAATTACAGACATGGTCCTTTGGTTTTCAGATCTATATTTGCCTTTTGGTTTCACAATTTTTAACTCAAGACATTCTCTGATTTTAATATGATTTTTTTCCTCTCTCAGGAAGGGGACAGAAAACACTGTATAAAAGGAAATGTATTTGTTATTGACTGATGTATTTGCAATCCTTCTGTACAGCATCTTAATAAACAATGTAAATTATAAAAAAGAAGAATTATTTCTCAGAGTTTGAGCTATCTTTTCTATTTGTCATGTTAGTTTATTATCATAATGCTCTCCATATTTGTCATTCTCCATAAAGATTATCTCAATCTTATTTGTGTCATATATCTTGTAAAATACAAAACTGACACACAGTAAACTTTGTGGATTTTTTCCTGATTATATGTAAATATGAGAAAAAAGGAATTTATTAACTACAATTGGTAAACTCAATGGAAAAGAGAATATCATGGTAGCTACTAAAGAAGTTGCCTGAATAAAATGTTATCCTTTCTTTGAGTTATCAGAATCAATGGTAACTGAATGCATAAATAGACCTTGTTTGGCTTCTGATTTAAACAAATGAGCAATAAGATGCCTTTTGTCAAGAACTGAGGTAAACCAAAGAAACTGGGGATAAATGGTTTCAAAAAAGTCATGCTATATTTCCTGATCAGAAGAGTAATTTTGTTCTTGTATTTTCAAAAGCTTAATCTATTAGAGAGTCTTAATGTATTTAGAGGTAAGTGGGAACAAGATTATGAATACAACAGGTATATTGTGAAATTTTTCAAAAACAAAAAATTGCACAGTATTGAAAAACATTATAGAGACACATGGTGGCGCTACAGGATAAGATGAGATGAGCCATACCGGCACTGGGGGCTCCATTACACAAAACAGAATATCTAACACACTGAAGGGGAATGTATTAAAGGAGCTTCACCTACGGAGCTGCAGGAGGGCTGCATATTTATCAGAGATTTCCTATCTAAAAACTAGAGCTAAAGCTTACAAAATTAAGGCCAAACCAACGCTTTTCCATAAAAGAAGTGACCTGAAAGAACCATGGGGATCAGAGAAGCATTGGCTCTTCAGAAAAGGCAAGTGCTGATTTTCTTTGTTTTGCTACGATTGTCTCATGCTAGTACTGAATCTGTGCAGTACACTATGCCAGAGGAAACTGAAACGGGTTCATTTGTGGCTAATCTTCTGAAGGACTTGGGGCTAGGGGTGGAGGAGCTGTCCTTCCGGGAAGCTAGGGTGGTGTCTGATGACAATAAAAGGCATTTGCGCCTTGATTTGCTGACGGGAGATTTGCTTCTAAATGAGAAACTGGACAGAGAAGAGCTGTGTGGCTCCGCAGAACCCTGCATACTGCATTTCCAGGTAGTATTGGAAAACCCTTTACAGTTTTTTCAGGTTGAACTGCATGTCAGAGATGTAAATGATAACTCTCCCACATTCTTAGACAAGGAAATAATTTTGAGAATATCAGAAAGTACTCCGATTGGAACCACCTTTCTATTGGAAAGTGCTCAAGATGTGGACATAGGAAGGAACAGTCTTCAGAACTACACAATTAGCCCCAATTCCTATTTCCACATTAAAATTGGCAACAGTGTTGATGGGAAGATTTACCCAGAGCTGGTTCTGGATAGAGCATTAGATCATGAGAAGGAATCTGAGCACAGATTAACACTCACAGCACTGGATGGTGGATCTCCACCCAGGTCTGGGACAACTTTGGTTCTCATTAAGGTTTTGGACATCAATGATAATGCACCTAAGTT